AAAAGTCAGATAACTTATAGGCAGCCATGCAGATTTTAACTAACTGTTTCATGCAAAGTGATCACTACAGTGTAAAGATGTTTGAAAGTGTTCTTTTTCCTGTGTTCTATATATATATATATATATATATATATATATATATATATATATATATAGATATATATATAAATATATATATATATATATATAAATATATATATATATATATATATAAATATATATATATAGTACAATATAGTGGAAGGTATTGCATCAACCCATAAAGAAAAAAATCTTATTTCTTGATCATTGCAATGGAAAAAAAAAAAATGAAACCAAGATGGCTGACATACAGAGAAAAAGACCAAACACTTCGGCTATTTCCGTTTCTACAGGTAGAGGAACCACCATTTCAACAGAATGTCATATTACAACTTGAAAACTTGAAACTTGAAAACACTTCCTGACTGAGTTTATCATAATTCATGCATGAGAGGGCTAGTAGGCTGAAATAAAGAGACTCGATTAGTAAGAGTTAAAACCCAACAGTGAATTTTTTGTGTTTAGATGAATCTGTGTATTCATTATCTACTGCTGCTTCACAATCAAACCAACTCAGTTTTAGACTGAGATATTAACATTTGCTATAATTCCCAAACTATGGCAGACGTACCACTGGATGTTATGCAGCCATGGAAACCAGAGCCCGACCCACCAACATACCAAATGTAGATTGAACCAAATTTCTCCTTATCAAACTTATCAAGATGCTTCTACAGTAGCAGCTTTTCAAAATGGCCCTTCCCAGTCAAACGCCAGCCGAATGGCAGCCCACTTCCCTGCAACTCCCAGAATCCCCTCCAACTTCCAGCCACTGGTTTTCTCATTCATATTTTCTTACTCTGACTCCATCCTTTCACTGAATTACAGGGTCTGACCAGGAGATGGCGCTTCTCCTTAGATCTAAATGTCCACAAATCATGATAGAAATAATATTTTAGTAGAAATATTGATGTTTAAAAAGGAAAGGAAAAGGAACAGCCAAGGAAGGTGGGGAAATTTTGAATGGCTGCTACTGATTGCCACAAAGTGATGTTGACTTTTACCAGAGTTATAATTTCTATTTTATTACCTTTGATACCTGCTTTATTGCATCACATGGACCGTCAAACTGGAGAATAACTTTGGAAACCAGCTATGGCCCCAAATCTGCATAAAATATCTTAGTGTAGCTTTTATAGCTTTTCAGATGAGGCCCCACTGACTGGGATGGTGCATTTTTAAATGTTTTATATGTGCACAGGACAGTGCTTGTGCTCTTTGCCGTTTTTCTTTGCAAACCTCACGATGTGGTGATGAAGCAAAGGGGAGTTGGTCAGAAAATCTTCAGGAAGAGGAGCAGCTCTGCATCAAGGCCTGCTGATGAATCACACACAGTCTGCCAGAGATGGGTGCTTTTCATTCCTCGGCGTTGCCATGGCAACCCTCTCCACCCTGACCTCGAGGCACGGTGTGATGTCAGAGATCCTATGCCAACTCATCATGTACAAAGATAAATAAAGAGCAGCGGAGGGTGGCGCTCCCAGACGTCTGTGCTGCAGGAACACGGCCATGGGAGGAGGAGGAGGAGGAGGAAATAGGACGTCAATGAAGGGGGTTTATATTTGCTTTCACACTTGTGGTCTATTTTTACAAAGAAGAAATTTGAGTGAAAGTAAAATTATATTTTAAACCTTCTTGCCGAAATGCTAAATGTGACCGATAATAACCCTGAACACACTGGAGCAGAGCTGACCTGCTTCTCCTCTGAAACCATCACAGGAGCTACTGCTGCAGCTAACCACAGAAAAGGTTCACTGGGATCGGGGGGGGGGGGGGGGGGGGGGGGGGGTTTACCATTAGGCAATACTAGGCAGATGCCTAGGGCCCAAAGTTCCTGGGGGCCCATAAATGTCTTTTTACATGTATGGTTAATACAACAATGCCTTTTTTTTGTACATTAATTATGTTTTTGATTAAAATCCTTTTGCTAAAATGCCATCATAATATTAAGTGTGTCTCAGCCCCCCCCTTCAGTGTCCACCATATTGGATCAGTCCATTTGCTGCACATGTTCAGAAAGGTCCAAACAGACAGCAGCAAACCATTTGAAAACAAACCATGCAAAGAGCAGTGTTGCCAACTTAGCGCTTTAGTCGCTATATTTAGCCACTTTTCAGACCCCTCTAGCACTTTGATTTCTAAAAAGCTCCTAGCGCCAAATCTAGAGACTTTTTTCTGCTACTGGAGACTTTGGAGACAACATCTAAAAGCAGCGAACTCTGCTCTCCAGAGCGAGTAGATTGGTAACCCCGCCTCCTGCTCTCCTCTATCTTGTCTGCTGTCATGATTCATGCAGCTATTATTTCATCCAAATGAAAAATGGAGAACAGATAAGCAGATCATGGCTTGTCTACAGTGAAAAGAAGGACTGGGTTATTTACTTTGGCCTTTTTGGAAACACAGGAAGGAGCAATCAGCTAAGTGAGCTTAGTGCTTGGAAAAAATCTTTCATTCCTTTAGAGACAGCATGAAAAGTCAGCTGAGTACAAAACATAGAGAGGAAAACAAGAAGAAAAGGGACAAGAAGAGAGGGACACAACCTAGAACGGATAATGGATGTCTATTCTATTAACATTTCTCTATCTGGAGAATGGGGCTGTTTATGTGTTGTCTTCTCAGTTCAGAGGGCCCCCTGCCTGTCTTTGTCTAGGGCCCCAAATTTCCTAAATCTGCCCCTGACTGGGATCAGAGTTTCTGAGTTCATATCTTCTGTCTACTTAAAGTCTTCCTGTTCAAAGGGAGTTTTTCCTCCCCACTGTCACTGCATCTAAAGTACCTTCAGATTCCATCAACAATTAAGAATCGTATTTTCATCATGGTCCTATAATAAAGAGGCAGAGGTTTACTTTCTAGCATCAGGGATCCATATGTCAGAGTGGTCCAGTCAAAGTCCTGACAGATGCTTTCCATCCATCTGTGGGAGCTTGTTTCCTCTACAATAAACCAACGTGTAAAACCTAGAACAGGTGTCTGCAGCCTTATTAACTTCAGTCCAGCTAAACAAAACATCTTTAGAGCGTCAAAGGTTACAAATATTATTGGAAAAATGAACTGTTTGGGATAAAAATTAACTTAAAAAGGTCCCTTCTAAGGGAGCACCATTTTCTTTATGAAAAGCGGCTTTCAGTTTATCTACAGAATTTACAACCTTAGAGAAATAGATCTAAAAACTAAGACGTTTAGTGTCATTTTCATACAATAATTCAACACACTTTGTAACCTGCAGCGTTCATTATATTTATATTCAGAAACAATGACTGGTTCTTTATAATTTTAAGCTACAGTTATAAAAGAGCCACTGCTGAAGGTCCATAGAGCTGCAGGTCTAGAAGAGCAGTAGAAAATGGCCCTGATAGGCCTTCAGATGGGAGGATTTTAAAACACATGGTGTGTTCGATTTCAGAGGCTGCCTCCTCCAGGGACCCGCTCCAGATAGACTTTATTTTCTCCTTATTTTCACAGACCTCCATGGACCCGGTCTATCCTGACCGGGTCCATGGAGGTCTGTGAAAATAAGGAGAAGATAAAGTTTTGGCTGTGAATTCAAGCAGGTCCATCCTTCTCCGGCTTTCAACCATGACAGTTGACACAACAATCAGCCAAAGAATAAATGCCGAAGTTTTCACAACTATTTCTTTTGATTTGTTTTTTTTTTCTTTTTTTTTTTTATTGTAAAGTGAACAAAGACTGATGAGAATCCAGAGTGGAATAAAGGTTCCAACCACCGGGAGCAGGAACTAATCAAATCAAATGTAATGATAGAAACCTTAGTCAGTTAAATAACCTGCTGCTGTCATTCTGCACATCTCTGATGTTGCTGCTATTTTCAAATATCCATTACTGTAAAAATATCCATAGCTGCATATTGGTTATTTATTCTCCAGTTTTATATTGTTAAAACACTTTTTATATTTTAAGTCTTCAGTATTATGTTATTCTTAGACATTTTTCTAAGGTCCTCATTTGTGTGACCATATTGACAAAAAATACTTAGTTAAGCAAATTTTGCAAAATAACAACTAAAAAATAAAACTCCTATCAGATTTATAGTCCCCCCCCCCCCTGCAGATCTATTAGAATCTGTCCTTAAATTCCAGCCAAACCCATTTACACAGTAACAGATAAAAACCTTTAGATAAATCAAACATTACCGCCTCATATCTGACTCTATAACCATTAAAACAACTATTTTCATTCATTTCAGACGGAACTATTCACAGACTGGATTATATTAAACAGAATTTTCCAATTTTCACCACTGTTCGGCACCAAGTAACATTTCCTCTGATCACGAAGGAGCCGGTTTGCCTGGTCTCCTAATGAATGCTGGGATATCCAGGGCTATGGAGGATACATCGGACCCGCCCTTCAGATCGATGCATTTTAAGGCCGCATAACGAGGACTCTTGGAATCAGACCAGACCTCGGCTCAGCACTATGACGTAATCCTTTGAATCTGGCCTTCTAAGGACACATGAATTCGAAGTCAGCCATATTTTAAATGTTGACTGAGGGCTGGATGTTTCATTAAATGTATTTTATGATATCCTTCCACTTTTTCACACTAACTCATAGACTTGATTTCAAGCAAAAACAATAATATATTTGCTGTATCTTACACATTTTGCAACAAACTAAAATAAATCAAACAGTAAAATTGATGACCAGTCAACCGACACGCCTCATATTCATTAATGTGCCAAGAACTGCAGCACCAGGTCAGCAGATTTCTATGTAGCTCTGAGAAACACCAAGAAAAACTTAAATGTCTGATTTTTTAATTCCTGTTTAGTTGCTTCAGTTGACCTGCAGATGATGAGTTTCAGTCAGAGCATAGAATTCATTTTATCTAAAGAGGTTGAAGCTGTGAGCTGAGCAGTGAGGATCAGCTGTGAGGCATTTAGCTGATGAGGTAGAGGGAGGAGTTTAAAAGCCTGCAGACCATCAGGCCTGTATGCAGCAATGGAGTCCAGGCAGCTCTTTGTGTTCAGCGCTCTTCTTGCATGTGTTGGTCTGAGTGATGGTTTCCTGCTTGGTATGAAACCACTGAGCTACTGGGGGGCTGTGATGCAGACTCCTGAAGCAGTGCCGGCCCAGTCAGCAGCAGACCCTGTGAAGGAGCCCTTCAGTCTGTTTGCTAGGCCTGCTGATGTCTTCCATTCCAAATGGATCCAGGCTGCAGGCGACCAAAACAAATGGAGGTTTCCAGAAGGTCCGGCGGCTCCGGTGAGCAAGCGTCCCGTGGAGCTGAAGGTGGAGCAGCCAGTACCGTCCAGCAGGGTGGCTGTGAGGTGTGGAGAGAGTAAGATCCATGTGGAGGTGAAGCAGGACCTCCTGGGCCTTGGCAAGCTGGTGGATCCAGAGGAGATCACGCTGGGAGGCTGCCCGGCTGCTGGCATCGACCGCCTTGCTCATGTGCTGATCTTTGAATCGGAGCTACATGACTGTGGCAGCACCCTGAAGGTATGAAGTTCTCTCTACAGAATATCACAACTGATCTGGTTTCATTGAGCTGCTCTAACCATGTGGCTCCCTCTGCAGGTATCTCAGGATGGCCTCATTTATACCTTCAAGCTGATCTACAACCCCAAGATATTTGCCAGGAGTCCCATCATTAGGAGCCAAAGAACAGAAATTGATGTGGAGTGTCGCTACAGCAACTAACCCAGGAGCAGCTCTGAGCCTCACTGGGAGGCTGCTGCAGACCGTTACTGGCTCATGGAAATAAAATGTTTAACAGATCTTCTCTGGTTCTCTGCTGTAAAAGTGGTTTGCATTCCTAAAAATCATTTCTGATCTAATCACTTTGTGGCACTTAATTGCATTTGATGCCAATAAGATCAATTTTTACTTAGTAGATTGCATCTACTGGAGTGGTTGACTTTGCAGGACACACTGTAGCAACTACCCTTAAGAACCAGGTTACTGTATGCAGGCTTTGAGTAAACGGACACTACTGCAGGAATATGGCCTCTTCTGGTAAAACTCTCCTGTTTTTAGTGTTTGAAACCTCTTTGCTTTTCCTTTGAAGTCAGGCTGGTTTCAGACTTGCAGCTCGTTCAAAGCCTGATGGCTGAAGGGAGGAGACTCTAAATGATCAATTACTGCAGCAAAGCTTCAGTTTTAAGAGCAGCTGAAACATAACCTGAGCTGCTGGGGGGGGGCTAAAGCACTCTTAAATTGAATTATAGCACTAATTCTTTTTGTAGGAGCTTTTTAAATTTAAAATGAAGATGCTAAATAGAACAGTCTAAAACTACAGTACTTGGATTAAAAACAAAGTAAAACTTAAACATAGTCTCCCAATAAGGGGGGAAAGACAGCTGCCAGTGAAATGGTAAAAATTGAAGCACAAAGCACAATGGAGCCCCTAAACTAAAATGTTCAATCTGATGGAATAACTGCAATCAGGTGTTAAATGTTCAGACTTCTACTGTTAATGTTTGTGAGCAAGGATTTTTTTTAAATTGCATTACAATTATCAAATTGTAAGTTTTTAATTTATAATTACTGTTGGAGTGAGTCTAAACCTTAAAGCACAACTGTGTATATATTTACCTTAAATGGAATGTATTTTTGGATTGCCAGTCCAGAGGTTTACAAGGGGAAGGAGGGAAGCAAAGTGGGTTAGTTTCGATACAGCTCATTCAAGAAGATGAAATAAAAGTGGTGTTTTGGTGAAAGTTATTGGCAAAAGGCACTGAGCAAGTTTAAAAAACGTAGAAAACGGTGAAATGTGTCTTACCTGTCCAGACAGCTGCCTGGATGAAACCTCTGATCTTAGACCCACCCAGTCACCAGCATTTAGAGTAATGTAGGAACTACTGGAGCTTGGAGGACATGGGTGATCATGGGAACAAACACAAGCCCTACCCTTTGGTGCCGTCAATGAGCCCAAAGGTGGTTGGATGAAGACAAGCTAAATGTAATTGGAACTTTAACTGGAAAATCTAATGGTGCTGAAAAAGAGCTTTTAGCAACAATCTGTAGCTTTAAAAAATGATGTGGAAAAGATCATGTCTGATTTATACTTTATCATTAAAGGGGGGAAGATGACAAAAAGCTAAATGCTAAATAAGAGCACCATAAAACCCCCTTTTCATTATTATAGATCTAAACTGTGTAGAGAAGCTGTGACGACCTCTTGAAGCTCATCAATCTCTAACGTTCTGCTCTCTCTGCTTTTTCTCATAGTAGCTTCATCTGGTCTGTTCCTGTTTGGCTGTGACTCCATCCTGGAGAGAAATATCAGCTGTGCTGCTGCCATCAACACCTTTGTTTCTAGATGTTGGAGCTTGGCCTGTTTTCCAGTGTAGTCCTGTTTCTCTGACTGTGACTAACTGGATGTGCTCTCTTCATCCTCTGACATGGGAGCTGGCTCGGAGCTCGTCTGCCTGGCTGTGTGTTTCCTGGACGGGGCCGCCTGTGGAGCTGGTTGACAGTTGCCTTTTGTATCTATGCTTCTTTTTCTATGTCTGCTTCTGTCTCCTTGAACCCCAGTGGGCCTCAGCAGATGGCCGCTCACACTGAGCCTGGTTCTGCTGGAGGTTTCTTCCTGTTCAAAGGGAGTTTTTCCTCTCCACTGTCGCTACAAGCATGCTTAGTGTGAGGGATTGCTGAAGAGTCAATGAGTCGATGCAATCAGCTGGTTTTCCTTAGATAGAAAACTTTGAATCAATCTGACTGGATGATCTGGTGAACTGGAAAGTGACCTGAGATGACATGATGGGAATTGGCGCTATAGAAATAAACTGAATAGAATTTAATTGAATCAAGAGAACGCCAAGAGTGAGCAAGGCAGTACTCAAAGCAAAAAGTGGCTACTTTGAAGAACCTAGAATATAAGACATAGTTTCAGTTGTTTCACACATTAAGTTTATATTATCACATGTTAATTCATAGTTTTGATGCCTTCAGTATGAATCTACAATTATCATAGTCATGAAAATAAAGAAAACTCTTTGAATGAGAAGGTGTGTTCAAACGTTTGGTCTCTACTGTATATATATATATACATATTTTTTGTGTGTGAATATTGGATAAAAAACAAATTTATCAGGAAGGTCACTTTAAGTTAATTTAAGTTCAATTAAAGGGAGAGAGGTTATGAAAAATAAGTTTGACTTCATTCCCTCTTTTCAGACAATTTACATGAATCAATGTCAGTCCTATGACCGTTCATACCGACAGGTTTATTCAGTGGAGGGTTTTGTTTCTATTTATGTTCAGATGAATTTAATTAGTTTGGAAATGGGTGTTTGGTTTGGTTGATGTTAACTAGTCTCTTTTGTGTATTAGGTTGATTCATGTATTGATGTTTATCCTTGTTTTTCAAAAAGTGTCAAAAAAAAAATCCTATTCATTCATTCATTCATTCATTCATTCATTCATTCATTCATTCATTCATTCATTCATTCATTCATTCATCTACAAAAGGAACAACAGAGGGCCTGCCCAAAAATATACAAAGGCTTGAAATTGATGTAAAACAACTTCAGAAAGAATTTGAGTCACTTGGTCACATGACCTGGAATCTATTGAAGAAATATCCCAACCTTTGTCTTTAAAATATCTTAAAAATTGAAAATAGCTTAAAATTGCGTAAAAGCAAGTGTGCCTTACCTGTGTTATCTATTGGCATGATTTTATTAGTTTAGTCCTAGCTGGTCATAAGATAAGGAATTTATTGATTTTTGTTTCTCCAGAGTGCTTGGTTCAAAGGTTTGTTGACGGTCCCTAACTGCACCACCTTGTGCTGAGAGACGCTGGGCGACATCGGAGACCCTCAATCGGATCAACCGTTTGCTAGATCCCGCTGACTCCACGGAGCTTGAATATCCAATATCCAAACCAGCTTCACCGCGGTGCTGACGGCTCGGTTATTCACCATGAAGTGGCCAAAATCCCGGACGAATTTGAAAATTCCCCTTGGACAGGCATGAAAAGTAGGACATGTCCGGGAAAAAGAGGAAGTGTGGTCACCCTTCAGTAGCAGCCATTCAAAATGTTCCTTGGCCCTTCACAGTCAAACACCAGCCGAATAGCAGCCCATTTCCCTGCAGCTCCCAGCACAATCCCCTCCAACTTCCAGCCACTGCAGTGACCTCCCCTTGCATATTTTTCACTGCATTACAGAGTCTGACCAGGAGATGATGCTTCTGTTTAGATCTTAATGTTCACAAATCATGACAGAAAGAATAATTTAGTACAAAGATTGATGTTTAAAAAGGAATTATATGGGACCAGCCCAGGGCCAGCCAGGGACCAGCCAAGGGCCAATCAAGGACCAGCCCAGGGCCAGCTAAGGACCAGCCAAGGGCCAATCAAGGACCAGCCCAGGGCCAGCCAAGGACCAGCCAAGGGCCAATCAAGGACCAGCCCAGGGCCAGCCAAGGACCAGCCAAGGGCCAATCAAGGACCAGCCCAGGGCCAGCTAAGGACCAGCCAAGGGCCAATCAAGGACCAGCCCAGGGCCAGCCAAGGACCAGCCAAGGGCCAATCAAGGACCAGCCCAGGGCCAATCAAGGACCAGCCCAGGGCCAGCCAAGGACCAGCCCAGGGCCAATCAAGGACCAGCCAAGGGCCAATCAAGAACCAGCCCAGGGCCAATCAAGGACCAGCCAAGGGCCAATCAAGAACCAGCCCAGGGCCAATCAAGGACCAGCCCAGGGCCAATCAAGGACCCATCAAGGAAAGTGGGAAAATTTCTATTGGCCACTATCTGTTGCTGTGTTTCAATCAGCGGGTCCTTGATCCGCAAACCTTTAAAGTTTTTCCTCTTCGTCTCTGAAGCCATTTCTATGAATGACCATCTACGTCATCATTCACTGACGCGTGGGAAATCGTAGCCTTATATGGAATTATCAGGGCGCTAATTATGCAGATTTTAATTCCTCAAACTGTGCCTCACTTACAGTTTTTACATCACTAAGAAGCGCTTCAAATACTTTCACTAAACTCTTAACCCAGACTCACACCTACAAAACACAACTGGCCAAATGGATCATATTCTTCTCAAAAACACATTTTGTTAAATATATACTAACTCTTCATTTCAAAATAAAACACATTTTGTTAAATATATACTAACTCTTCATTTCAAAATAAAACACATTTTGTTAAATATATACTAACTCTTCATTTCAAAATAAAACACATTTTGTTAAATATATACTAACTCTTCATTTCAAAATAAAACACATTCTGTTAAATATATACTAACTCTTCATTTCAAAATAAAACACATTTTGTTAAATATATACTAACTCTTCATTTCAAAATAAAACACATTTTGTTAAATATATACTAACTCTTCATTTCAAAATACAACACATTTTGTTAAATATATACCAACTCTTCATTTCAAAATAAAACACATTTTGTTAAATATATACGAACTCTTCATTTCAAAATAAAACACATTTTGTTAAATATATACTAACTCTTCATTTCAAAATAAAACACATTTTGTTAAATATATACTAACTCTTCATTTCAAAATAAAACACATTTTGTTAAATATATACGAACTCTTCATTTCAAAATAAAACACATTTTGTTAAATATATACTAACTCTTCATTTCAAAATAAAACACATTTTGTTAAATATATACTAACTCTTCATTTCAAAATAAAACACATTTTGTTAAATATATACTAACTCTTCATTTCAAAATAAAACACATTTTGTTAAATATATACTAACTCTTCATTTCAAAATAAAACACATTTTGTTAAATATATAC